CTCATAGCTTTCGTGTTTGTTAGAGTGATTGGCATTGTAATTCTGAAACTATTTTATACGTATTGCAGGATGCAGCAAATGAGAAAATATGCGGATGCTGGGAACCAGGGTTCTCACTGTGGGAGAAGGGAGGTATATGTATGGAATGAAGCAAGCACAGAAGAATCCTGAGATGCTGGATTTGAATGAGTATGAGCTCATGATTTAAAACAGATAATTCATATTCTTTAGCTCTACCCCCTTGAAGAGCCTAAAGGCCATAACACCCCACTAAGAACACCTAAGATATGTATCTTAGCGCCAAAATACCACAACCCACTGAAAGCAACCAGAAATCCTTAGATGAGTGGTTGACTTCAGGTCTGCCCCAGACCTGAAGGTCTAGTATCAAGGTAGTCTAGAATATTTCACTGTGCCAGAAGCAAGGAAGACTGATGAGAACATGTCAAAAGGACCTAGGAGCCAACTTGAAGGGACTCCCACTAGCCATATTTGAGACAATTCGAGCATCAAAAAGAACAATAATAGTAATGAATTTTAATACATCAAGTAAAAAAAAATCTATGAGTGAATATAGGGGTACTAAAAATGGGGAGAGGGATGAGGAGAGAAAAGCCCTTCTATAAGTAAGAATGCTCATTAATACATTTAGAGGGAATGTCAGGTTTAAAAATCACCCTTTTGTAAATACTAATGTAATAATTGATTCAGGTGAAGGTTATCAAGGAGTGCTAAAACCACTGTGTGAAAAGTTCCTGGGGTCTAGGACGCTCACAGGACCTGAAAGTATCGATGCATAGATTAGCTGATTTCCAAAGGGAAAAGGTCCCTTTTACAGTGCAGAGATTCGGTGGTCTCCATCTTATCTAAGTGACCAAATGGAGCATCACCGGTAGAGGCTCCCTGACATTATGTACCGCTTGACATGGTACAGTGAGAAATATACATCACCAATCCATGTAGCATTTTTGCCGAAAATGTCTCATATTCTGGTTTTGTCACATAAAATCAGGCTTAATGTTACTGGAGATGTAAATGTGGATTTTCTGTTTGATTATTTTTAAGTGAATACTAAATTTCTTAGATGTCCTATGGTATTGTGGATATGTAAGAGAACGTCCTTATACTGAGGTCATGTACACTAAAGAGATTAGAGGTCAGGTGTCATGGCTTCTGCAATTTTCTTTCAAATAGTTTAAAATATGATGTTTTTAAAATATAATATTTCCATATCATATAAATTACACATATGTATCGTATATATATATATATATATAAAAAGAAAATGCAGCAAAGTGTTAACAAATGTTGAATCTAGGTGAAGGGTTTACAGATCTACTTTGTACTATTCTTTCAATTTTTCTATAGATTTGAAACATTTCAAAGTAAAATCTTGGGTATGAGTCAATGAATGGAACACGCCTATGTGTTCCTAGCACAGAGTAGGCACTCAATAAATGGTAGCCAAAATGAGACCATCATCAATACCATTTTTATCTTTCAAGGCCTCCTCTATGCCATTTCATAGTCTTGGCTGCGGTCTGGATAAAGGTGGAGAAATAACCACTAAATAAGTGAGCCGTGGTTTTGTCTGAGACATTTGTGAAGAAGAGAGAAATAAAGAACCCATTTAGTCTCCTATCAACAGCTGCTTCCCAGCTGAAGCAACAGGGCTCAGTGGCCACGAGCCTCTCTCACCAGCTGTGGATTACTTTGCAGGCCCTCAGAGGCACTGGGGTGCTGAAATTACAAATTCTACAAATTCCCCAGAAGACAATTTTGTTGCATGGATGAAAGCAGCATGAGTCCAGTCAGCTCCATCTGAGAGGTTGTTCTTTGGCTCCCAGAGGGGGGTTTCAGTTAATCGACTAGAGCCAGGCACCATCCTCAGCTTGTCCTTGAGGTAAATGAGATCCCAGCAAACAGAAATGGTGTTTCTCCCCTCTTTAGAAGGAACCTAATTCTGGCATACAGAGGAGGCCTGTGCTGTTTGAGACCATCCTTCAGCTTAGTGGTTCCTGAGACAGGGCCTCAAGATGGCTACAAGATTGAGGACTGGTGTCCTGTATGTTGGTGTTTTTAATATGATAAAGTCCACAGATCTCGGTAGAGTAGGAATTGATGTTTTATTAATGGTTTTTAATTAAAATTTAATGTCAACGCATTGCTGCTCTCACGTTGTTTTGATAGAGGTTTTGTGATTTTTTCCTGGTGACAAGGAGGATAAAGGGAGAGGTTAAGACATGCCTTAAAGATAAGACTTGGGATGTGCTGTCGCACACATAGGTGATATTCAAAAAGCAGCCCAAGGTGGGCCCAGCATCCTCCAAGAAACACCTTGAGTTGCTCCTGGGCCAAACCCTATCATTCATCTCTGAGTCCTGAATTTTTACGCTGCTTTTCAACAGGGGCTCCTCTCTGTCTAACAACCAGGGGGACCCCAGGAACGCTTGTCACTAAACCACCCTTCTCGCCCTGATTCTGCTTCTCAGATCAGGTACCAATCACATTGCCACTCCTCGAGAGTCTATGTCATATTTTCTACAACCTTGTGGAGTGGATGTCTAGAGCTCTCGGGGGATTTCCTAGGACATGTGGGTGATTTCCGAGTTTCTTGTGCTAGAGGAGCCTTTGTCGAGAAATTTTTTTTCTGGATTTAGTGCAAATATAGTAGCACATTTATTGAAAACTTACAATCTGCTGGGCATTTTTCTACTGTCTTTGTATACCATCCCTTTTAGTGAGCACAACAACCTATAAGGTAAGTACTATTATCATCCCCATTTTAGAGATGCAGAAACCAAGGCACTGAGAGGTTAAGTGACTTGTCCCAGGTGCATTTGGCTCCAGAGTCCGCCTTCTCAAATAGCGCACTCTTCTACCTGCTGGAAGAAGGGGCTGTATGTGTTTGAAACAACGGAGCCAGACCTAGGGAAAGGTCTGGCAGCTTTATCAGAAGCCAAATCCAGGGCCACAGCCCCTGGGCTGCAGAATAAGGGCAAGAAGGAATGCCCAACTCATTCTGCTGGAGGCTGGATGGGAGTGGGTTCACAGGAAGTAGAGTGCTCAGATCACCTGGAGAAGTTCATCCAGGGGGAGCTGTACCCACAGAAGACTAAGGTTCATTGAAAGGCAGGAAGGTGGGGGGCCAAGGTGACAGAGGCTAAGTCCCCACTGCTTTTGCTACCTAGAAGCATGGTCTGCAGGGGCTGAAAAGAAAGTGGCTGCAGGGGTGACTTTAAAGGGGGTCAGGAAGGGCAAACCCTTCCTGTGAAGGTATTTTCTTTGTGTAAAACTTGCAGTTCTAGCATAGGACTTAGAGGGGAATGAGAATCGGGGGTCCAGGGGAAAAGAGGCTGGCGCTCTTTCCTCTGTCTCCTTATGGGAACTTGCAGCTGAAGATATGGATCTGGATCCCACCAAGGGCCATCACTCAGGGGTCTTTGGACTGACTTTTATGAAACAAGAGTATAGAGAGGATTGCCACGGTAGAGGTTCTGCTTTGAGGTTCTAAGGCTAATCTGTGTCAAGTTGGGGTATTTTCTTCATGTAGCTGACAATGACAGTGCTCTGCCCAGATCCCTTCTGATCTCTTTGTACCACTTTTGTGCCCCTTGATCTTTTGCCTGCACGTGCAAAGAGCCAAAAGTTCCTGACAATTTACTTTCCAATCCTCCTTCCCCATCCTAGCCCTAAACATTGGCCGGCAGTTCCCTTCTCTGATTTGAAACAAGAGTGATGCATACCTGCCCTGTGGAGTTCTGTAGGCTCAGGTCGCAGACCCCCTTTGCTGGACTTGGCCTGAAGTTGTATCTTGGCTTTTTCTCCTTCCTTGTCCTGCTTCCCTCACTCCCTTCCTAGTCTCCCCTGAGAACACTTCCTTAATCAATCACTTGCACACAAATCTTCACCTGAGAGTCTGATTCCAGGGAACTCACTAAAGTCACCCCACGGGGCCAGAGGCAGCCTGGCTAGAGGGAAAGCTGAAATAGGGCCATGGAGAAGTGTTTCCTAATGAAGTCCGAGAGCTGGCAAGTTGTTCTGTTCTCCCATAAATAAGATACCTGCTGTGGTGGAGTTACATGGTACATGCAATGGGAGCCTGAGTTGGAACACCCACGTTGGCTTGGGGCAGTCAGAGAAAGTTTCCTGGAGGAAGTAGCATGTAAGCGAAGACTTGAAAGATTAATAGAGCTTGTCGCACAAACATGGAGGGAAAGGCCATTCCAAGCAGGAGAAACGGCATGAGCAGGGAGGGAGGGGCGGGAAAGGTGATGTGTTCCAGCAGGTACACATGGCTCTATGTTCCTGGAGTCTCAAGTTAAGAACCAGGTTGGAAGATAAACTGCAGGAAGCAGACATCAGAATCTTGTAGGGGTGGACGGGGGAGTGGTGGAGTGGGAGGAATGGAGGCCCCCAGGCTGACTTTATCTTGAGTGACTAGATGAAGGTCATTGAGATGAGGAACACCGGGAGAGAAGTCAGCCTAGAAGAGCTTAGTTTATTTTTGGATACTTTGGGTTGAGATGCCTGGAGGACATCCAGGTGGGAATTCAGTTCTGGGTACATTCAACGTATGCGCTAAGCTCTTTATATGTACTTTTTGATTTTAATTCTTAGAGTCCAGAGTTGTCTGACTCCCAAACTCAACATGTTTAAACTGTGCGATCCATATACACTGTCTCTTTCAGGATGCATCAACGTGGTTAAACGTTGGGCATAGAAGGTGGTATAAAGTGAGAAGAGGGATGGGGATGTAGAAACGTCAAACTTGAGTGTGTGTCTGTGGCAGAGCTACCATTATCCATGGGAACAGCGCCCCCTGGAGTTGTGTAATACACAGCCTGCATGGTCCTTTATTGAAGACCTTGGAAAAGAGGCAGATACAGACGGGGAGATTAAAGATTCAGGAAAAATTAAAACCTCATAACTGACAGGTATGGCCCCGTGAGCATGTCCAACATTCTCCATTCCAAAATAAGCGCGCCTCCCTCACTCACCGTCCTCCTCCGTCTGCACCACCAGCTCCTCACTCTCCATCCGGCCCTCCGGGTTGGACAGCAGCAGCCTCAGCCGGATGGTCATGAATGGGCGCAGGCCACGCAGGGTATAGTGGGAAGATGTCTGGATGACCTCCTCAGCCTCATACTGCTGCTGGTTGAACACGTACTGGTACTGCACCGTGAGGTTGTAGCTGTGGCAGCGGGTCACCGCATAGCCAAAGGGCTCCCACTGCAGGGTCAGCTGCCGGGCTCGGATGTCCACAATCTCCACATTCTGCGGACCGTGCACTGGATCTGCAAGACACACATGCAAGACACAAAGGCTCTCAGGAGACGGTCAGGAAGGCGGGGTTGGGTGTTTCACTAAAACAGAGGAGACCAGCACTTCAAACTTATCTCAACCACTCAGCCACTGCCTTCATGATTTTTGCCACATAGAATGTAACTGAATTAACATTTTTCTGTAAATCAAACTCCTTTTTCTTACTTAAATACATGCATCTGAATGAAAACATAACTATATAAAGGGAAAACCTGAATCACTTGCCCTGAATAAATGTTAACCATATAAATAAACCAATAAATAAACCATAAAAATAAATGCAAATTGCTAAATTTTTAAAGGTTCATCAGGGTTCCACTAAAAATCATCTTGGGGACCACCAACAGCAGACACAATACTTTGGGGATATACTAGTTTAGAAGGTTGCTGGGGTTCTGACCTGCCTCCTTACATTTAATCCGGGCACATCCTTTCCCCTTGGGAAACCAGCTCCCTCTCTTCAGTTAACTGCACCAAGGTGCCCAGGCTGGAAATTGAGCCGCATCCTCAACACACAGCACCCAGTCTATCCACATGGTCACTGTGACCTGTTGACTATGCCTTGGAATTTTCCTTCCTTTCAATGACAACACACTCATCATTTCTCAGCCCCCTATGACAGCCCTCAACCTCTCTTCCTCTCCTCGCCACTTTTTTCCAAAGAGGCCCCTCCAGGGACATCATTCTAAAAGCAGATCTGATCAGACCTTCTCACCCTAATGCTGTCTCCCACTCCATCCCTCCCTACTGATCTTGGCCCCAGATGCCCCATATATAGCACGGGCTATATCTTAGTTTATTATGAATATTCTGTTTATACTTTACCCAAATTAAATATGCGTTTTTGTACAAAACAGAGTATAACAATCAAAATAATTTTTTTAAATCCCCACGTATAAAGCTCATTCTGTAAGGTTTAGGCATGTATTATGATAGAAGCATAACTTCTTTTGTGATCAGCATCCTCATAAGTTCTTGTGTCACATTCTCTTAGCCAGGAGCAGCTAAGCACAGGCTAGAGATCAAATCAGTATATTTTCCCCCATACCACCTATAGGACCTACCAAGTTATACAATCTCTTTGGGTCCATTTTTTATTTTATTCGTAAAATGGTGATGATAATAGTAGCTAACTTCATTGGGAGGGGAGCAGGAGTTAAATGAGATGTGGTTTGAAAGCAGTTAGAACTGCACATGAAACTTAAGTATTTGATATATGGTAGTTTTTCTTTTGCAATAATAGGAATATAATAAGGTTTCATATGCTTTATCTACACTGAACATATTATAAGTGGCAGTGCTGGGTAGCATCCTTACGCAAAATAATGGATTCTATCATCTCTCCGGTCCCTTCAAAGCATTTAGGGATAAGGCTGCTTCTGCCAATGTAGCAATAAGAAAGGGACGGAGGACTTGATGCCAGCTGAATTCCTTGATTGGTCCCTGTGGGGAAAATGTCCTGGACTTGTGTCAGAGCCTTACCAAGGAACATACTTCAAAGTGGTCCTCTTTTGAGAAGGATGCCCAGAAATGTCAGGGAGCCTGGCAAACCTGCCCAGATCTGCTCATGTGCTGCTGGGGAGAGTGGACAGCATGGCCACAGCCCAGCTGAGAAGTTCACAGTCACTTTTATAGCCCCATTATTCATGCTCACAGGTCCTTTGTGTAAAGGAAAGCCAGCATCCCAAAAGCAAATGGGTGACTTTGAAAATGTGACATTGAACAAGCTGTGGCTGAGGATGCATCGCGCTGAGCCCACGTGGAGTAGGAGGTGAAAAGTATGGTCCCTATAGTTCGGGGTTATGATCTGGTGGGGCTGCCATGGCTGCTTGGTTTAACAACTCAGGACGCCATGAGAACAAATGCACAAGCACAGGGATAGTGAGAAGCTGCTTGCTTGAGAAGTCCAAGCATTCCCACGAGCCTTACCCAGCTGGAGCCTTTCTGCAAGTCCAGATGCTAGAACTTCCCTAGCTGGGAGGCTGCCCACCCTGCTCAGGATTCTTCCTACATTCTACATTCTACATTCTTCCTCTGGGTGTGCCTTCAAAACTGATGCCAAATCCCAATAAGATAATCACCCGCACTCATTAGAGACTAAGAACAGGAACATTTATGACCCTTTTAGGTCCACAGCTAAAACCTCATTTTGTCAAACATCTTAAGATGTGCCACAGCCCAAGTTAAATAAAATTTTGGGATCTCCAATATGCCCTTAAAGCACAAACAAAACAATAATAACAGAAACAATAATAACAAAACAAAACAATAATAACAGAACACCATTGATGGCCAGCAGCCACAGCACTGGGTTCTACCACCTGCATCACCGTGCAACCGTGTAAGGGAGGGCGTGTCAACCCACTTTACAGAAGAATAAACTGAGGCCCAGAGAGGCCCAGGAACTTGTATAGAGTAGCAAGGTCCGCAAGTGTGGTTTTGAACTTGTGTCTGTCTGACTCCACGCCTAGTATGTGAAGTCAGAAGATGAGCCTGGCCACAGGGGCCTGGAAAGAGAGCCTGTGTATGCTGTGTATGCACCCTGAGGAAAGAGGACACAGCCTCTCCCACTGCTCTCCTTTGCTCTGCCTTTCCCCTCCTGCTGGTGTTCAGCAATCCCCTCTCCCCACTGCAGTCCTCATTCACTTTGCCTCTTCTGTGAAGACTTCCTTGCTGAGGCCCTGGGCAAAGGTTATGGCTATTTCTTTCTCCTTTTATTAACTGTTTCCTTATATATTAATCATTTTCCGCTGTGACAGCTTTTTAAAATTGTCCCTGCTCACTAGGATGTGAGCTCCTTGAGAGCAGGGGTGCTCTCTGCTCATCACTCCAGCCCACGTCCACTGCAGGGACCTGCAGAGGAGGGTCTCGGTAAGCATCAGCTGAAAGGATGCTCTGTTTTGTAAATCTCACCCAAACCTGTGAGGAAAGCATCACTAGCCTCATCCTGGAGGAAACCAGAGTGAGGTGAAAGGATTGGACCAAAGCCACATAGTGAGTGGCACAGCGGAGATCTGAAGTCCTTGAGGGGCCAGCAGCTCTGTTTTCTCTGCACTGTGACACCATGAGGGACTGAGACAAGGGAAAGGACATAAACATGAGGCATGCCACAGTCATCAGGAATCTGGGGGAACCTGGGGAGAATGTAAGAAAGCCTAGAACTGTGAGGCAGAAATGGCTTGGTCCTCAGGAGCCTGAGGGCCTCCTGAGGAGACGGTGATTTGGAGACTTAATCATTTAGTGCTAAGCTGGCCACTGGCCTGTCCTCCCACCCCTCGTCTCCAGCTACTACAGTGTTCTCTCCACAGCTCACCCGTGGAGGAGTGCACAGAAACACTTTCTGCTCCTCTTAAAGGAAGGGGCAGGCAGGGGTGCCTTTTCAAAGAGGGCAAGGGATGTTGCAAGCCTGCTACAGAACAAAGAGATTTTCTCCCAGAGAGGGAAGGTCAAGACATGGGAAAAGTCACTTGGTCCCTCTGAAACACATGTGACTGATCGTCATCAGACAGGCCACAAGGAAAAGTGGAGCGGGGCAGAGAACAGCTTGAAGCCAGACTCTCACGCTCACTAGCTGTGTGAACTTGAGCAAAGACACTTCATCTCTGAGCCTCTATTTCCTCATCTACAAAGTGGAAATTATTGCAGTAATCTCCGAGGGCTGCTAATGAGTATAAAATGAACTATAAAGAGACAGAGAAAACTACCTCTGCCTAATAGGGGGCATTCCTCTTGGAGAGAATGGCCTTTCCTGGAGAAACGTCTTGGGAAGCTTGTTGGAGTGGAAGCTGCATTCTCAGAGCCTTGGGATCAGTTGTGCTCAGCCTTCAGAGGAAGAGAAAAATGAATTCACTGGATGCTGGGTTTGAATAGGAGAGGCTGGCGTGAACAAGATGGCAGAATGTTGGGTGGAGCCCAGTGTGACTGTTCTTCACGTGACGCCTCGATCTGCAGTAAGGTCCTCAAAATACCACAAAATGGTTTGCCATGACTGAACTTCCTGCAGATTCTAGAAAGGGTTGGGATCTGCATGCCTCACTTGGGCCAAATAAGATGCCACATGGGAACACAGGGACCAGACGCAAAGGGGACTCAAAATACAACCATATGTGTTACCAACAGATGATTTTGGGATTTCCCAAGGCTATGGAAATTAAGAGGTTTAAGAAATCTCAGTTCACGTGCAAATGGAAAGAAGACCTCTGGTGGACCTGTGAGTTGGATATGTGTAGGTGAAAGTGTTTTGTAAGTTCAAGAACTCCCCTTCAAGAAAGGGGAAGGCAGCGGCTATTTACCAAGCTGTAACTCTGGACGAAGAACTTTCACGCTGAAAGCAGCCCTCTGGCATAGAGAATTGAGGCCAACAAAGGGACATGACTGACTTAGGGCCACACAGACAAGTCCTCAGCTCTGGGCTCCCCTGGCACTTTGCACAGCTGCCCACCCACTCAGCATTTGTCACGCTTTCTAGGAACTGCTTGGTCATTTATCCATCACTCCTCCCAGGCTGCAAGGGACCATGTTCTGTTTGTCCAGCAAGCCCAGCACATGGTGCAGGGCCTGTCGAGGGGCCAGTTCTTGTTTGTTAAGCTGAGATGAACAGATGGTGATCTGTTCTTGGGAACTGAGCTCAGACCCCCTGACTCCACAGTCCCTGTTCTGAGCTCTCCAGCGCGTCATCAAGTCTTTAAGGTGAACATATCTATTTTTGGATTCAAGCAAGAGAATGTCTTGAAATTCTACACAATAGAAACTGGTTTTCAAAATGGTGATGGAAGCATTCATGCTTTCAATCTGACACCCCCCTCCCACACCCCGAAACCTCAGCTGCTGAACCCAGCTTCTGCTCCAGTAATTGCTGCAGCAGCGAGAATCTCAGGTTTACATTCGGGGTGGTGCAAACACATTGGAAATTGCTGAGAAAGCCTTGTGTGTGCAGTGGAGATTGGTTTGTTGAATTTACATCCCCCGTGTA